TACACACACCAGCCAAAACTCACTTCTACTGCTAAGCTCTCATCTGAACTATGCGCTTCTTAAGGGCACGCAGCCATTGCCCACACCAACATAAGTCCTCAGAGCCAACTTCTCTTTGCTGCATATGCCTTGCCTTCCACAGCCCATTCTGTTGCACTCTGACTGCAGTCGAGCACCTTGCTTCCCCTTGCTTGACAGCTGAAACGCGTGTCTACCACTAAGCGCTCATCTCAGCTGCTCACTTAAAAAGGACACACAGCCACTGCCCACACCAACACAAGTGCTCACAGCCATTTTCTCTTTCCTGCCTACAACTGCCTTCTGCAGCTAATTCTTGTTGCGCTCTGACTGAAGCTCTGGGCACTCTCCTCGCTCACGAGCCAAAAACCATCTTTATCAACAAGCTGTTCTCTTGACTGTGCAAGGACCTGCAGACACTGCCCATGCCAACACAATATTCACAGCCAAATTCTCCTACCTGCCCACACTTCCCTTCTACAGCCCATTCTTGTCACAGTTCAAAGCTCTTGTCTTGTAGCCAAAACTCTTGTCTTGAAACACAAGAATGGGCTGCAAACAGCAAGTGTAGTTGACAAGAGAACTTGGCTGTGAGCACTTGCATTGGTGTGGGCAGTTAGCTGCATGTCTTTGTAAGGGTATGTGGAAGGAGAGTGTCTGCTCCTTTAAGGGTATCTGGTCAAAGAAGACATAAACAGGAACATACAGAGACAAACCTGACTGACACACGTACTACAGGTACGTTGCACAGAAAAGGAAGATTAAAGAAAATGTACCCCTTTGTCCATCTTTGTCCACTACATATACTTGTAGCCTTGTTAGTACCAAAAGTATCAAAACTAGTTCTAGCTCATGCCACTGACATGGGGATGGATGCAATTAGTCCGGTTTTATACGAATAAGGTCAGGCTCAGACTTAAAAAAAAAAAAAAATCTTAATTCATTTTAAAGAACTTATGGGAGAAGTTTTCAAACACCTTTTTCATCTGAGCAGAGCTGCACATGCCTGACAGAGAAAATAATCTTGGGCCTGGAAGCCATTTTGAGGCCAAGGAACCAGAAAGGTCGAGTGTTTAAAAAGTTCAAGAATGAGATCTCTCTTTCAGAGTGTCATCTGAGAGGTTTTCGTCCCTTTGGGAAGTTAAAAAAAAAACCAAAACACCCACACAATCTTTTGGCTCCTCAGTGTCCCAGGTTGGAGGCTGGATTTTTAATAAGGTATTATTTAAATTCTGTTTTTTTAAAAAAGAGAAGCAATTCTCATAAGGACATACAAATTCTGCATCTTTCTTTATCTTTCTGATATTCAGTATGCTAATGATTCATGGCATAGCACACTAAGGCCATGGCTATACCTTCCTACTCATTTCTGCTGCCAGCACTAATGCAAGCAAGTTGAATCAGGAAATGGCTTCAACTTAAAATTAGACTTTACCCCATTTTATTCTAGATCAACTCCCCGATCTGGCTTGCTGTGAGCATTAATGCTTGCACAAGCAGCTGGGACCACTGCTTTCAGAAGGCAGCCAGATTTATGCCGGATTGATGTGACTACATAAGCATAGCCTCATGAAAAGGGACGGTATTTCAAGTGTTTGATTCAGTGTTATGAACAGGTTACAGAAATGTTGGGGGGGGGGGGGTCAAAAGACATTATTTTGTTAGTGTTTTAACAACAATTTATTCCTTAACATTTCTTATTTACACTAAACCAGGAAAAGATGAGAGTTCCCTACTTTGCATCAAGTTCAAACGCAGAATTGAGAGTGGCAAAATGGCCTCTGGGAAAACAGAAGTTACTACAACCCTTTCAAATTGGAGGTGGGGGTGGTGTGCACAGGGGAAGGTAAAAGCACTATAAACCGACGCAATCTATGATTAAAGAAATCGGACTATCCCATAAGAAAATACCTTCCAATCCAGATTCTAACAAGTTAGTTAAATATATTGTTACCTTTCTCTTCCTTCCTCTTCTAACAACTTTAGGAATGCATATATCATTTGTTTTCATCACATCCTATGAAGATAAGAAAAAATAAAGTGTCTTAGCAAACTTAAGATATAGTTTAAATGATCAAGAATTTCTCAGGGAAATCACATAACTGAAGCTTCTGATATGCGACTTAGGCAAAAAATTTCATCACATCAAGATGCTTTCTGTTAGTAAATATCATTACGTTAAAGTTTGCTCTCTGATGATATCTCTAATTCCCATTAGCTTCAACAAGGGGTATAAATATATCTGAATACATATGAAACTTTACATTTTAAACCACTCCCGAGACAGTCACAGTGCTAGCAACTGTAGCTTCTAAGTATTTGAAGATACGGTTGCAAGTCAAAGTGCACAGTATTAAAGTTAACTTCTTTAGGTTAAAGAGAGTAACATTCCACGTACTTTGCTACTGAGTTTTTCAAACGGGACATCATCTTCTTTGACAGTATCCATCTCTCTGTCTTCTGTAGGTAAATTATTATTCTGTTTACTTGATGACTGAAAATGGAAAAATTAACATGGAGTTAGTTCATTTATAGAAAAACAGAAGTGAAGAAGAGGAACTAAACTATCAGACTGCTTTGCTCTTTTGTTTTAAATAGTTTATGGCTATATATGCACATTGCTTCTTTAGATAGACATCAATACTCCCAAATCAAACAAACATGTTCATTTTTATATGTGTACCTCTTGCTCTCTACATTTCTTTCATATTTACAGACAGTTGTCAGAACGGGTCAAAAATATTGCAACATACCATGACAGAACTAACTAACTAACTAACTAACTAACTAAATTACACCAGCACTTATTTTATTCCATTTTATGTTCATGGTAACATCATTACATTTCTCCATATCAGTACTTCTAAATGTTCATACCAATACTAAAAAATTCATCTGGACAACCGCTTATCTATATATATGGATAAGAGTCATGAATCAGAACAAGCAAACAATATGAATGTAAAGGTGTACAAACAAAATGCAATAGACTACAAACAAGGCATTTAATGGTTTATGAGCTAAAATTTGGTAACACTGATCATCAGTAACTGGATTTTGACAATGCTATGCTTTAAAAACAACAAAACAAAGAACCTTTAGAAGAGCTGGTTTTGAGAGATATATATTTAGATCTATTTTAGAGATATATCTAAGTTTGACAATCAAGAGTTTGTAATACTTGGAAATAATCACCTTAGTCCTGTGAGAGAAAGAAAAAGAGAGCGAAAGAGGGCACGCGCAAAAGAGAGAGAAAAAGAGATTGCAAGATAGGGAGAAAGAGGATGTGAAAGATAGCGAGAGAGAAAGAGATAAAATAATCAGAGAGTGCCGGGG